CAAATTGAGATGAGAGCAAACCCCTAAGGGAAATTGATTTTCCATGAAGCATTTTTTTTTAATTCCCATCTTGACAAAAAACACATGACATAAACTTTTTTTAAAATCTGACTTTTAACATGGTAATTTAAAAGAGCACAGGTGTTTTTCCAGAGCTCCAGTTGATCCAGTTATATTATTCATAGTGAGCCAGGGCTGAATAGGCAGTTAGCTTTAAAGTAAGCCCTGATTTGTGAACGAGGGAGGCGGGGGAGGAGAGGTGGAGGACTTGATGAGTAGGGAAGCTTCTCCTGGGCCAGAAGGAAAAGGATTTGGCCCAGATGCAGGCAGCGATGTTAACTTTGAGTGGCCCCTGTGGTTCAGACTCAGCACCTCCTCCCTTTTACTTCCCAAGCCCCCAGGTTGCCTTTGCATGACATCATTCCCAAACTATGCCCCCCATACCCATGTGAATCTGAGCTGTCACAATCAGAAGCCACCCCCCACCCTATCTATTAAACTGTACTGCTCTGCAAACCCATACGTTTCTTTTTCTTCCCCCCTCCTTCTCTTCGTCTACCACCAATCTCCTCCCTTCTTCTTCTTTCTTAACCCCCAGAAAGGCATTGTTTGAGTCAAGGCTTGATCAAAAAACTGTTGCCCGCCAACCACAGGGCTTTCTGTAAATTCAATAAGGCCACCTTAAAGATTTTCCTAATTAATGGATGACATCTTTGGCTAGAGGAGAGGAGAGGCATTCTGCTCCGGCTCGCTCTTTGTTCGCCTCCTAATTAACTTTCCTAGGTCACTCAGGTCCCCGCAACCTGAGAGTGAAGAGCCCCCATTGAGGAGGGAGTTGTAAACTTACTTTTTTTGCCTCGGCACTTAAAAGGGGAAAGCAACTATAGGGAACAGAAAATATCCTATTTAAGTCTTTTGTGAGTGAACTGCTTGCACATGTTCCAATAAAGGAAGTCTTCTAAATAAGCTGCCATGTTGCTCCCCGCTCCCCCTCACCCTCTTTCTCCCTTATCCAACTTCTTTCACTCCCAGCTCCACAGAAAGGTTATGAATGATAGCTCTGCGCTGATGGGGGGGTAAAGGGCCAAAGGACAGCATCTGGGCATTGTGGAATTGTGAGCATCTGAAACTTTGAGGGAATTTGAGGATGGGAAAGCGCCGAGGTGCTCGGCGGTGGGGTGGATGACTGAGAAAATGTGGTGAATATGGGAAAAAATAAGTGCCTCTTTGGCCTCGTTATTGTTTGGGTGTTTCTAAAGGACCCCATGTCTCGCAGCTGCTTTCATCACTCCAACTCTTTATCGCCACACAAAAAAAGTCCAAATGAAAGACCTTTACTCCGAGCTAATTCTGTTTCGGCCATTGATTTTTTATTTTTTTATTGTGAGGACGTATAACCTGATTTCTTATGTTTGAGGCATGCTTGTAGTTGTGAAACAGCATCATCAAAATGAATAAAGATCATTCCTATCACGATCTGCTTAAGTGTTTGAACCCACGTGCAGGACGGCCATGAGAGACTCCAGAAGTAAAGAAGTTTATTTTAAACAAACACAAAATGCTGACGGGGCAGCAACAGTAATTTTAAGGAGAGACACGGAGGGAGGTAGAACACGAAAGCCTTCTCAGGACAATCCACAAACACAAAGACGTAGAATAAATAGAGACACTGATGAGACACAAGGACAAACACCTGGGGTGATTGGAAACGGAGACAGGTGTGACAGGAGCTGAACACAAGGAAAACCAACAATTTCAAATAATCTAAATCACAACACACGGTTTCTGAGTCAAAGTAGTTATACAATTCTAGCCCATCCATGTAAACATCAGGAGGAATCATTTTGTAATTTTCTGCATCAGATGTGTTTAATTGATACTTTTCTCTTCCACTGACAACAGGGTTGTTGGTTTTTTTTGCACCACCTTAGAATTAAAATTAGTTACCGGTAATCACAGTATTGACCCATTTTGCATCAGTTGCCAAAATATGTTCCATATCTCTTTAAAGCCTTTTTCCAACCATACAATAATAAACATTGATAGCTTCATCCATCTGTAAATAAGAAAAAACTCAATAGTATAAATGTTGGTCATTGGTGCAAAGTTCTTAATGTTTAACTCAGACATGCCTGTGAATATAATGAAGGTCATGATGGGTGAGCAACATTTGTCATTTTTATCCAGTAATTAAAGCGATATTCGTCACTAAAGTCAAGAACTTTTTACAAGATCATTTCATAAAACCACAACAGTTTGTTGCATACTTCAGCAGACGACACTGTCTCAACTATCTGTGCTTTACGGGATGATGAAGCATCCGTTAACAAGTGCAAACTTCAAATTTCATGTTGTTGTGTTCATTAGTCCTCATCTGCTCACACAGACTCATGTTCGTGCTGCTGTTGTTTTGGCACATTGTTTTTGTACCATTAATGTTTAGTGTATTCTTAGTTCATGACTCAGATTTTGCTAATGTTTTTCTTTACAATTTGTATTTTTGTTGGATGTAAGTGGAACACTGTGTACGTAGTTTGGTCCCACCTCATGTATCACATGTGATGTGTATGACAAATAAATCTCTCCGACTCTAACTCTGACAAACTAGAACACACACGGAGAATATGACATGGACTTGGCATCCTCAAGTCAAACCAAAATAACTTAAAATGATTTAGTTAAAAAAGCTTTTTTTAATTTATTGTTATTTATTTATTTAGCTTTTTTTTTTTTGCTCAATTGTGAACCAAGTAAAAAACAAAGCTTATACATTTTTTTCTTATTCCAAACAAAAATGCTGTTCGTGTTTTGGAATAATGGAGGCCTAAACTTCTCATTGCTCTGTAAACAAAATCAGTTTTTATTTTGACTGATAGAACCAGATTAAAAAAAAAAAGTTACATGTTTTAACAAAGCATGCTAAGTGTGTGTCATCACCGAGAAAAAGAAATAAACCAGAAAGTGCTCGAACATGTCTACCTGAGAAAAACAGAATTTCCCTGACTGTATATATTTCAGAGATTAACCTATATACTTTTGTGATTCGTAGACATTTAAGTTTCACATCATACTATAAATCATTTCAATTCAGTGTGTAGTCCTTGAATTTACTTAAGAAAGAAAAAAAGAAGCTTAGAGTTAGTTTTTTTTCAGCAGTTTTGTTTAAAACAAACCATATCATGCCATACATGCGCTGTGCTAAACAAAATGAGCGTGAAAGTTCTGATCTGATCTAATTATAGGAAGAACAGAAATGCTTCTCTGTGATGTAGAGAGAACAGAGAACATTTTACCTCAACCCATTTGTTCTTCTCTGTTATCTTGTGCTTCTGTCTGAATAACAAAGTTCTATCAGTGAGTCACCAGTTCCTGCTGGTTGTGTATAAATAACCACCATAGCAGCTGAGTCCTCGGCGGTTAACGATGAGTGGAAGCTGTGACCTCAGACCGTGACCATTGAACCTGACCTGTGGAGCCAACAGGAGGACAGCAGGAGCAGCGGGGCAGAGGAAAGATTGACTACTGAGCAAAAATAGACACGCAGCAGTCAGGGCTGCAGGAAAATTAAAAATATCAGGTTCATGTGTGTGATTCATGACAATATACAAGTGTTTAGATGTTACAAATTCATGAACCTCTTTTCTTTGATAATAAACAGGGGAGAGATTGCAAAAGGTTTTATTTTTTTGTGAAGGATCAGTTCCTCCAAATCCGAGGCCATGGTCTTGAGCTGGAAAAGGGCAAAGTGCCCTCTCCCGGTCGGGGAGGAGGTCCTGTTCCAAGCGGAGGAGTTTAAGTATCTCGGGGACTTCTTCACGAATGAGATAAAAATGGAGCGACAGATCGATAGGCGGATAGGTGCGGCGTCTGTAGTGATGCGGGCACTGTGCCGGTCTATCGTGGTGAATAGAGAGAACTGAGTCAAAGGTGAAGCTCTCAATTTACTGGTCGATCTACGTTCCTACCCTCATCTTTGGTTAGGATGCCTCCTGGATGCCTCCCTGGTGAGGTGTTCCGGACACGTCCCACCGGGAGGAGACCCAGAGGAAGACCCAGGACACGCTGGAGGGACTATGTTTCTCAGCTGGCCTGGGAACACCTTGGGATTTTCCTGGAGGAGCTGGACCAAGTGGCTGGGGAGAGGGAAGTCTGGGCCTCCCTACTTAGGCTGCTACTCCCACGACCCAACCCCAGATAAGTGGAAGAAAATGGATGGATGGATGGATGGATGGATGGATGGATGGATGGATGGATG